GATACCAAGATTCAAATGGAACCCTGTCTTTTAGTCCAAAATAGTTATGGAAACTTGCCTGAAACAGCATAGGAAGTCATCTAAGAACCAACTATAGAACCAGTAACCCTTGCTCTCAAGCCTAAAGTGCTAACAACCAGCCATTGGTTTCTACTAAATGGTATTTTCCATTTCCTCACTAAAGCTCACTAGAGCATGTTGCAATTGAGTTGTCCTTCTGAGTGAGACTTAAATAGTTGTTAACATTTGTAATTATTGTGTCTAAGTCATTAAGAACTTACACAAAGGATCAAAGTCATGCACAGGTTAGTGAAAATCAGTTGTAAAAATATGAATGACCTTGCTCTAAACATCCAAGGGCAAATGTAAGCAGCTGTGGGAATAGAGATGAAAAACAGAATCACTATGAATGTTTCAAATAATGATGGCTAACACATAGTAAGTATTGAAGTCAGCACCTTGGCATCTGAAATAGGGAAGGAAGTAGTAAGAACATACATTGAAACACTAACAAATGTTCTATTTTCCCATTTTAATGAGCCATGTGTTATTATGGTGATACAGTGTCCCTCTTAATAAGGAAAGACAAACCAAAGCTAGCAAGAGAAGTTAACACCATTGCCAGAGCAAATGAGCCAGAAAGTTTCTGCATTTGTTCCAGTTATATGACAGATGTTTTGAAAGTCTAAAAACCTTTTGATAGAGTCATATAATCGAGCCATGATGCAGCCAAAATTTCTTTTACATAGGCCTTATGTTCTTCTTCATCAAATATTGGAGTATGATGCCATAATCATATAAAATAAAACTAAGTCAATTCCATTTAAATAATATGCCATTGAACTAGCTGTAGGACTAGTTTTTTTGAAATCTGAATGCTTGGTGTGAAAGTGTTAATAAGCAGAGAACAAATGCAGGGAGATTTAATTTAAAATGTTAGCATACCATGAAGGCAAATGCAAAAGTAAGCACAAAAAACAAATTCTTTCTAGAATAAATTATAATGCAAATACAATAGCAGGTGCTACACAGAAAACAAGCTGGCTTAACCTCAGCCACTTTTAAATAGTGGGCCCTATAGGCCTATAAGAAACTGTGGCTTATTTTGAGTGGAGCAATGAGCAAGTCTAAGGGGGTAGGAGTAAACTTCATCGGGAAATGAAAAATATCTTGAAATGCAAATGTAAGGTGAGTTCGTTTTAGAATAACGAACACTTTGTGTTTCAGGGCTCAGTGTCTAGGGCCTCCATATAGATAATATTTCTTAATATTCAAGTATTAATCATTTGAGTAAGGTGTTCTAAAAAGATTCTGATTGTACCAGGATTGAATTAATGTACATTTAAATTAGTATTGCATGAAAATTGAAATGCTGTAAAGTGTTCAGTTAGCCACAAGAGGGGGTCTGTATTACTGGGAAAGAGAACATGGAGTAATTGAAAGTCAAATCCTTCAAGTATTAGTGCCTTTTCACAGACAGCAGTACAGCAAATTTTAATGGCTACTGTGGATAAATATGGGAATTTTGTAAGACTAGTGAAATAGAACTTGTACCTTTTGTTACTATTCAAATTCAGTAATTTTATTCTTTTGTTAATATTCAAAACACTTCTGGGTTGCGATGCACCCTTGCTTTGTCTTTTTCTTCTGGCATCAGTAAATATTTTCTAAGGAAGCTGAAAGGAAATAATATTAATCTTTGATGCAATTATGTAGCTGTGCAGCTCTGTGTGCTGGTAGGGAAAATACCTTGAAAGCTTGCTGCCATACCAGCAGCATGTTTTTTTCCTAGAAATGGGGCTAATATTGCAAATGCAAAAGATATTAGAAGTATTTGGCATTCGCCACATGTTTCTCCTAAACTTTGGCACAGAGAGAATTCTTCATGAGAAGCATGATGAGGAAAGTGTACGTGTGCAAATTATTCTTAAGCACCACTTAAACCTCTCTATTCAGGAGGACCTGATGGATGAGAGCAATCTAAAGAGCAACAGAAAGAGCTCTAAGGGTTGTATTGCACACAACCAGTTAAAATTCCTAGAAGACAGTCCTATATATATAGCAGTAGTGAATTATTCTTTAGTAAGCAGCTGCTGAAATTTTGGATGGTTTTGGAGAACAAACATAACACAACAGGATACAATCAGATTACCTAAGAGGTGTTTAGAAAACTCTGCTGCTGGTGCCACAGGCTTTTGAGTGGTCTTAATGGTCTTGGGTTCTGACCCACATTTAGAATCAGAAAAGATGAACAGAGTGCGCTCATTGCATGCAGTGTCCAGAGCTCCAGTGTATGTCCAGGATCTTCTGGAGCTATTGTGGACATGATGATAAAGGTGAATATCAGCATGACCATGGCACTGTCACATGGCTTACATTGTGCTGTTGAAAAGCAGTGCTTAGTGGTGACTGTAGCCTCTGTTATATTGATCCATCAGGTCTGGATATGTTAGAAATTCCTATTGACATAGGTCACCAGCACACCTTTTGCTTCAAAACCAGTCAGCTATTCTAATTTTGTAGTATGACAGTCCAAAATGTACTTACGATCACACTTACTAGTACTGTAATGAATATATTGCTGATATCAAATACCTGAAAATATTATCAAAGATGAAAGTTGTATTTCAGTGGGTTTTGTATTAAAAAAAATGCATATTCTTGAGTGCAACCAAATCTTGGTAGTTTGTACTCATTCCATGCTCTATCTTGTTTTATTGCAAGATGTGCCCAATAAAAGAGGTGGGGAGAGGATGCATTTCGAGTTTTTTGCAGGGATTTTTTTTGATTCAGTGAGATTCTTACAGCTTCTTTTATTAAAATGACTGAGAGGGCAGAGTGGGACCAAAGGACTGGCCAAGATCACTTCAAGCACACATTAATCTCTGACTCGAAGTTGTAGGATGATGAGAAAGGTTAAGCTGAGGCTTCATGTCAAAACATCTGCAGGAAATGCAGAGGTGTGGAACCAAAAAGTGCATTTGCTTTGGTCAGGCGATTGCTTTTGAAACATTATGAAAGTAGGAGGTCGTGGCTTAGCCAGGAAAACATGAAAGTCAAGATAGACAGAAATATGTGAGTTAAACTCTGTACAACAAAAGTGGAGTCAAAAGATGGAAAAAATACAGAGTCTATGGGTGTTTGTGGTGAAGGCTGGCAGATCCAGATCCAGACAATAGAAGGCCCAACTGAGTATAAGACACTGTGTGATCAGCTTATAAAGCTGAGTTTCTTCAGTTCCATTTTCCTAATCCTTTTCTTGGATTAAATGCATCAGAGATCAAGCAATGGGAGATACAACGCCTACAGTAATGACGAAAGAGCATAGGATGAAAGATGGAGGGATTTGTGATGTGTCCCAAAGGCCCTGGCTTTATTGTCAGAAAGTGGCAGTGATTAAAAGGGTTTGGTTGTACCACACACTATGCTGCTCTCGGTAGGACTGGGAATGGTAAATCTAAGATCAGATTCCTAAAGGAGGCAGTGCCTATGTCTTACCTTTTCTATTCAGGAACCTGCTGAACTTTTCAGGTATACAAAAATGAATATTTTTGCTTTTTCAGTGCTGTCTCTCTGAGATACAGTTTACATTGTTTCTTTAATAGGTTGAAAAACAAATCCTCCAACTACACAGAAGTCATTAATCTAAAGGAAAGAAGGAAATCACAGTCCTTCTGAAACTATTAAATATTGCTGGATTCAGAATAGCATAAAATGTAATGCATTGTAAACACAACCATTTTAGAAACCTTATGACCATGGATTTGTGGCTTTTTAAAATCTATTCTTGAAGGCATTTTTAAGCAAATAATTTCCAGCCATATTTGTGGTTCAGCTTCATCGTAATGTGGATGAAACCATTTGTGAAGTTGGCTAGAAACAAGTTTGCACAAAAGTCATTTTTTACATCTGTAGCACCCCAGTTTGAATGAATGAACAAGGAGAAGTAACAAAGGCTAGTAGGTTTCCAAAATTATTTCAGACTTAGATATTGAGTGGATTTTTATTTAATAAATGTAAGTATCCTTTTAGGAATATGTGCATTGTTTTGCAAAACCTTCAGGAGGTTTTAATTTTGCTCATAAAAGCAACCTGGAAGCACTCACATGTTTAATATAGGATGTGTGCTTCAGTTTCTGTGGGCTCAGGTCATGTGTTTTGTGTGTCCATTTTCCTTCCGGTAGTGCACATCAGCTTTTACATACAGGATTCCCTGCACTGGAAACAGAGGTGAGAATCCTGCCCCTTTCTTGGCTCTCCAGCAGGAAGTTTCCAGGTGTTTAGAGGTTTTGAGGATGGGATAGGGAGGTGGGAAGCCCGCGCTGGCTCCGGCTTGAGGTGCTGGGGACCCCTGGGCCCTGCTCAGCGGTTCCCCAGGCTGGACCCATCCGGACACTGCTGCAGACCTGGGCCCAAGGCCTCTCCTCTGCCTATCACGACACTATCACGTATCCCATATCGGGACACGGTGCCCAGGTGCCACCGCTGCGAGACCCTTGCTGTTCCCCGCGGCACCAGGCTCCGACTGCCGGGAACTCGCACAAGTCTTCTTGCCCACGGGCTAAAACATCTGCTCCGCATAAGCCCAAGACATTTCCCAACGCTTTTCTAACATGCTCGTCCACCCTGCAAGTCTGTGCTGAACTTTTCCGCTTTCCTGTGAAATATCTAGGTTACGTGAATACAGTGTTACAGCTTTTTACAGCCTGGATTTGGTCACTGTGGCATATTCAAAGCTGTGGGAATCCGACCTCTATTTTAGCTGCTGTGTGCAAACTCACAGTTTGTGTTTTTGGGTGATTCTGCCCTAGCACCTCACTGTCCTGCTCATCCCGCAGGCTGTTCCCCAAGGAAGCTCTCCGGGTGCATTTTGCTGACATAAGTGCAACCCTTTCCCCCCGATTCCTGCACACCCGAGGTGGTGGTTCGTTGGGGATGGTGGCTGCCTCTTTCCATGGCTTGTACCAGGGCACCTCACACGGAGCAGGGCTGGTACTCACCCCAGCGCGGGCTGCCGAGCCGCCACGTAGCTGTAGCACCTTCCCAGGATGACTTCTCGGAGGTTCCTGGTGGTGCCTTTGTCCTTCCACTTCAGCCTGCGGGGACCCATCTCCTGCTTTCCCCGAGTGAGGACAGAAGCCAGGACGGCAGCCACGACGAGGGAGACGAGCAGGAGTGCGATGCCGGCGAGGAGGATGGTGCGTGGCCACTTGCTGTGCCGGGGGGGCATCGCTGGCAGAGCCTGCGCCAAGGGAACAGCGGCAGCCGCTGCTCTCCCTGTCCTGTCCCGTCCTGTCCCGTCCCGTCCTGTCCCGGGCGGCCGGCTCAGACGCGGCTCTCACTGTCACCTCCCCCTTGTCCTGGCTCGGGGGCCGGGAGGCCGGACTGGCCCCGTGCCCGGCCCGGGCAGCCCTGCCAGCTCCCGGCCGGCGCTCTGTCCTTATGGGAGCCACGGTGCGGGACTCGGCACGCACCGGTGCCAGCCCGGCCGCTGGGCTTCCCCTGCTGCTGATCCGGCCGTGGTCTCTCCAAGGTGAGCTTGTCAAGTTGTTGTAGTAACCTCACAAAAGTGCATTTTTGCAAGACAAGTCATGGTAAGAGAACTCCTGTAGCACTTAGTCAAAGATTCCATTGCAGAGATGTTCTCCGACTTGTGTGTGGCGACAAAAGCCGAATTAAACTGCACATACCTGGCTCATTTATTTGTTTTTTAATTACAGTTGATAAAACAGCTTTTACCAAAGGCAATTACTAATATTGCAGTAGCCGTAAAATGCAACTCGGGTCATCAACTAACAATGTGGTGTTTTGTTTCCTTGCAAGCAGGCTTGGGTTAGCTGTCACACAAGTTTCTGAGACTAGCTGTGTAAATTGTGGGTGTCTAAGGCTGTATTAAACAGTGTAAAGAAGCATTAAGTGTTCTCTGCAATAGTGAAGTTAGTTTCTTATTGTGCTCTCCAAATGAAGCTGTTCAAGTTCCTTGGTGAAAAGCCAAAACTGAGAGAGTTAAATCTCAAAATCTAACCAAACTAATCAAGGGAATATCAGCATAATACATAGCACTAACTACTAATTATTCATAATTACTTATTAAGGACTGTTTTTAACTGGTTTAATGCAACGGAAGGATTTTGGGCTACCTCTCAGCTTGGGTTAGGCAGCTCCAGAAGCCCTGAGGAATGCTGCTCTCTGACCAAAGGCTTCAGTGTTAAGCAATATTTAAGTACCTAATCCTCTGAATTCTTCTGATACTATTTTCAGAGAAATGACGGAAACATTTCACGGGTTTTAGTCAGAACTGAAGCCTCATTTTGGGAGTGACATATCTCTTCTTCTGATATTAACACTCATGCCATACTAGTTGGAGTGATAAGAAGATGCTTAGTGACAGTCATATACTGTCTCCTTAACTTGAGAAATAATTGTCCATCTGATAATTAAAATGTTGAGTAATTAATTTTGGCAACTTTTTAATATAATAATAAGGATACCAAAGTTTCTACGGTATTACCTATAGCCCGTCCAGTGACGTCTTCTCACCCTGTGTTAATGGGTTGTATCCCAGGATCTTGAAAAAATCTAAGTGTCTCTATGAGACAATTCAACAATAATTAACTCATAAATTGTGGGTTTTTTTCCCCTTATTCTTTCTGTAAGCACATGAGTTTGTCCTGACAGGCAGAGATAATTGTTTTTTTTTCCATGTTCTGATCATAATGAAACTCGAATACATGATATTCGCATCTGAACCTTTATGATCTTTAAATGAATAATACACAAAGGACTCCCTTTGTTTTATTTTCCTCTTTGTGTTTCCTTATATCTCTTTTCATCTTTTTACTGTTCACATTCATCAACTAAGTAAATACCATGTTGAAAAGAAAAGGAAAAAAAAAATAGCCTAAACACCGTATGCAGTGAACTGCAGTATCAGCTTGTTCTGGGTATCAAAGATAAATATCGCAAAATATTCTTAAAGAATGATTCTTTGAACAGAACAAAAGGAATAGTCTAAAAAGACTTTAAAACCTTAAAGTCTCTGTTAGTCAGGTCAGGAAGCCTGATGTAAGCAAACATTTTCTTTTATCAGATATGACACTGATTCGTTTAGAATAAACAAATAATCTGAGTGCAGACTCAGTTTCCTCCAGAGTCTCCTTGTTGATTTTGTAGCACCTTGAATTACACAAGCAATCTAAAAGACAAGTAAATTCCAGGTCTCTTTAGAGCAGATACTCACGTCCCAATCAGAATGAACAAGACTCACAAAGAGAGATGAGGGGGTGGCAAAGGAGCCAGGAAAATCAAATATTTCTGTGTTTAGGAATGTGATAATTTTGCTTGCACTGTAAAATGTGGGAATGAACTCACTTCTTGCAAACCTTCTGGCACAAGAAGATGTAACCAAGGGAGCTGAATAAGACAGTACATTAACAAAAGAGGTTATCTTAGATTAACTTGATCCAACCACAGTAACAGTAAAAGCTCAATCTTAACAGGACATCATGGAAATGCAAATGTGACATTTCTCCTGAGATTGCAGTGAAGGGCTTCTGGATCTGAATCCTCCTTGAGATGCCTTTCTAGGGAGTATTTCCACACCTTGCAAGGAAAGCTATGCCTAAAAAAAGTGGCATAACTGATAAATTCATAGCCCACACTTGGAGCCTTCTGATTTAACTGAGTTTTAGGGTATCTAACCTAATAATACTTACGGTTATTGATACTAATAAACTAATAGTGGTCAAATCAAGGCGTGCTTGCACTAAAACTCCAGGGAGTTTTGATTAGAAAGTGAATGTAAAAGATTGCAAGACAGAAATACTTGAGGCCAGTGAATGCCAGCATCTGCTTCTGATACTATTTATTGAAGCAGGGGCCTGCTTTGAGAATGTAACTGTATTATTTGTAATTTATTAGCCAGCATGATTACCGCTAAGGGTACTGTAAGACAAAGCAGCTAATTCCCACTTCTGCTTATAAGTTCTGTGGATCACAATTTTTTATCCAGCAAAGGATAATAACCCACCCCCAACCATTCCGAAGTTTTGATTCCTTTTTTTCTTTTTTCTTTTTTTTTTTTTTGAATGACAGATATATTTCTTTCCTGTCATAGATCATCCTGGCATCCAAAACCTGGCTGAGGGCACAAAGAATCCTTGCTCCTAAGAGGCCGTATGCAGCAGATGGGACTGAACTGATGAAAGAAACCTTGCAAACCCAGGTAAGAAAAAGGAGTGTTGCGCATCTTTTTGATGCCTAGGGTTAATATCTTCTCCTGGGAATATCTTTCTCAATGGAGAAGACCACAGAATAGTTGGAGTTGGAAGGGAAATCATCCAGTCCAAAAGATTTCTTGGTAAGATTTTATTACGATTGAATGTTTTGCCTGTGTCCAAGTTACTCCTCACTGGCTTCTATTTTTTTCTCTTGGGTATATGGTGTGATCAGCTCTCTGGTAAAAATGGAAACAACATCACTGCCTTTAAGGAAACAAAATTATACTAGGAGTGAATTTGTCCATAAAATAGAAACAAGTTTCTTCAAAGACTACACAGCTTGAGAATCATGAAGGATCCCATTAGCGTAATGCATTAGACTACAATGATACCACGCTATTCACAGTGCTATTAATTACCCCCAGTCTTGTGGAAGCCTCTAATTACTAGTTGCCAGTTCTCTACAGAAATTATGAATAAAAGAGCAGAGGCTCTTACAATAATTGAAGAAATTATTTGTTTCCTGGCTTTTGTCGGAATAGCCATGACTAGAGTCTTCTCAGAGCTTCCCAGTTTCACAGAGTAGAAGCTGTCATAACATTTAGTGAAGGCTTAAGAAGAGCACTGTGAGAGCAGAATGATGAATGAGTTGAGAGAAAGAGCTGGCATGAAATGGCTCTGTGAAGAGCTGTACTGTCCAACTGCATGCACTAGCTACTGTGGAAGATGCATTTGTGACTTAGTGTCTCAGCATCCTATTCAGTTTTCCTTTCTTCGGAGCCTTACCGGAATGCTGAGATGCAGGCTGGGCTTAAGGCTTCCAGGGTAGCGAACAGCTTCTTGAAGGGAACAGCTTCTTCCAGGGTAGAGAACAGCTTCCCTGCCAGGATGTACCAAGCAGGCTGACAGGGGGACTGCTTTACAAGCTCAGCTTAGAGCAGGACTACAGGAGGACAAACAGACCAAGCCATGAAAGCGCCTTAGCTCTGAGCTGCTACTAGCACCCAGCTAAAGGACATGAGGAGCTGCCCTGCCTTGTAGGCTCTGTAACAGCTACATCCATTACTAGGAATATTGATTGCATTAACATGTTTATTAAGTGGACGTAGACGGAATAGCAGTGTCCCCATGCTGTTCCCAAGCTGGATTTCTCAGATGGTTGCCATTATCCAGTTGTCTTGTTCAGCTTGTTCTTACTTGACACAAAGTTACAGCCTGATCGTATTTTCTTCTGCTGTAAATTCCTTGCAATTACTTGCAATGACAAAGTGCTTTACAAGTTCAAGACTGAGTATCAGATACCAGGGAGTTCCTGGCCCATGGGAGAGGCAAAGTGATTGCACAGGCCTTGTTTTATCTGCAAACCAGGCTAAAGACAAATTATCTTCCCACTTGGAAAGGTACCAAACAACCCTACAATGGCATCTTTGCAAGAGATGCAAAGTGCTGGGTTATGGTAAACAGCAGCACATTGACAATGCTAAAATCTAGCTGATTAACTAGGCAGTTTCATTTCACACCTTTCTCAGCTAATCTGATAGTGCAATGTTTTTGACCTTACTTTTTATACTCATAGCATTTTTTTCAGTTCTTTGAAGGTATACCACAGGCATTTTATCTGTCTACCCCACAGCTCATGGAGGCTCTCTCGTAAACCTGCTCTTTTCTGGCTTTCCGCGCAGTTTGCATACAGACCGTTGCCCTTGCTGACACACAGCGCCCAACCTGCAGTTTGTCTAATCACGAGGCAAGCACAGAAACCAGCTTTGCTTTCTCTGAGCTAGGGTTTGCTGCTGGTGTATACGTTGCAGATCCTCAATTTACTCTGTTAAATTGATGTTTTCTTTAAGTGATGATTTAGTTTGTACCTGACCTAGGTCTAATTAGGTCATTGAACCAATGACTGCTGTAAATACAAAATAGACTATGTTTAAAAATATAAGTATTTTCATGAAGATGGAGGAAATAATCTTAAGACCAGCCCATACGAGCAAGCAGGAAGCCCGTCTTTTCTCAGTAAAGCATTCTGCTCTCTTGACCACAATGTACTTTTTTTTCCTATGCATTGTCACACATTAAAAGCGTGTAGGAGGACCAAATGTCACCACTTTGTCTTGCCATTTTCCCATTGACCTTTTCATTACCCTACAGACACTCTCCACTGTATGTAGTAGTGTGGTTTCCTCTCCTCTCAAGGCTTACACAGGAAGTTTAGGGACTAGTTAATTAAAGCAATATAGATAGTTGGTAGAGATTCTACTTTTTGTGTAAATAGATGTGAGAAAGCAAACATATCAGCTGGACAATTTCTGAACTGCAGAGCCAGAAAGGGCCAAGCACAGCAGCACATGATAGAGCAATGGACAAATTAGAGGCTTTTTTTCCAAAACACCAAATTCCTTTATTTGCACAGCCTCTGATCCCTCATTCTCCTTTCCCTCGGGGGTTGGCCCTTCCTTCTCAAATGCAACACTGGTGCCTTGCTGAAGGGCAAGGTCAGAACGTCCTCAGACCTCCAGCATGAAGCTGTTTCATTCCTGTGGCTGCTCTGCTCTGTCACCATCTATCACATCTGCAATTAGGAGGAAGGCTACATTGGCATGGTGCAGTGTGTAGACCTGAGGTGCTCACAAAGATTTCCCCTTGTCATCCCCAAATATCTACCTGCTCTGTGGCTTTTGTTACCTTCCACAGTTCTCAGCCTCTGCCTCACTTGTACCTTTTGTCTTTTCTAGTGGAATCTCCCAGGACTCATGAGTCCCATGATCTGGTGCTGGGCAGCAGCACCAACCAGGCTGACCTTGCACTGGTCTAGTGCACCTGGCTCAGGTCACTGCAAATTTGCTATCATCTCTGAGGGGTCCCTTCCCACCTATATTATTCTGTAGTTCTATAGAATAATAGCTTCTATAGAATGTATGATTGTGTGGTAACAATGTGCAGAACGCAGACAGCCCTTCTTGCTTTCCGGTGGATATCCAATGGAAATAAAGAACCTAATCAGGCAAGTTTCCAAATATATTGGGATTTGTGGAACAGAAGATACATGAAAATGTCTTTCCTTGAAGACAGTTGCTGAAATCAATTACATGTTAGGGTAGAGCTTCAAGCACCTTAAGAGTGACTGTAGCTGGCTAGCACACTGTGGAATACCACTTACAGTGTCTAAAGCAGAATCTTAAATGTCCCTGTTAAAGCATGTTAGCCATCAGGTTTTCAAATAAACACACCCAGCATGACCAATTGCCAAAACTCTATGGACAGCTAAATATTTTAGAGAAAATGAAGCTATCTTGTTAGTAAGGCATTAGTGTTGTGAAATCTCAAAGGGACCAGTAATACAGTTTCATTGAACAATGAAGGTTGGAAGGGACCTCAGGAGGTTATCTGGTTCCACCACCTGCTATTATGTGACCAGACTAAGTTGCTTAGGCCTTGTCTGGTGCAGCTTTCACTGCCCACCCTCCGAGTCAATTTTAGAGATTTTTCAATCCAGAACCTTTCTGGGCTACCTGGTCCAGTGTTTGACCACTCTCATGGTGAACATTTTTAAGTTTATGTCCAATAAGAATTTTCTTTACTGTTCCTTATGACAATTGCCTCTAGTTTGTTTGTTGTCTCACTGTACACCTCAAAAAAGTACGGCTCCATCTTCTCTACAATGCCCTTTAGATTGTGGAAGAAACAAACTTTTCGGGCCAGCTTCAATGGAGCTTATTTTGGAAGATTTGTTGCTATAACATACAGTGTTTGCCACAGAATCAGGATATTCAGGTTTCTGACATTCTTCCGTCAGTCATTTCCATGCTTTAAAGAGAGCACAGATCACCAGCACTGTGCTCTAGGATGGAGCACAATCTTGTACTCTGACAGCTGAAGTGACATTGGTACAACTTGATTTTGAGCTGCTTGTTGCTGCAAAGAGATTTATGGTCAATCAGGTTAATGCAGTAGGCGTGAGGATCCAGTGAAATATGCTGACAAAAATGTAAACTTACCCAAAACTTTCTTAGGTATCAGGAGATTTGTTCTGCAGCTCAGATGTTCCCCACTTTGCTAGTGTTTGGACTACCTTGCAAATTAGTAACATGATGATGGGCTGCACATTTAAAGCTCCCATTTGGATGAAGCACATTTGGGAAAGGCAATCCTTAGTGATTCTCTGCATGGCCATGCACATCCCAGCTCCTTTCTGATGAGGAGCAGCCTCCCTGCTTGTTGCTGTGTAAGCTCCCTTGGAGTCCCTCAGAGTCACGGCAACACTGACTGTGCCATTCAGTGTGAGATACAAAGAGCAGACACTGAGGTTTCTTTATTTCTTTCAAACAAAGATCTCAAAGACTTCAAAAAGCTCCCCCGCTCTGAACTAAACTCTTCGTCTCATTCCTGCCTCTTTCCTCCTTTGCTGGTCCTCCTGAGTGTCAGATCATCTGCTCCTTCCCCTTCACATCCCGCGTGGCACCTTCAAAGGTGCCTCAGAAGCTTCTCTACTACCTGAAGCAGTTCCTGCTGTCACTGCTGCTTCTTTTCGTGTGTGTTCACAATTGCTTTCTCAGCAGAAGTGGCAGGTTTGTGACAGGCCACAGCTGGAATTTGAGCACTGGTTATATTACTGAGCAACACACTATGAGATCCCCTGTATAAGCAGTTGGAGAAGAAGGAGGCAAATTGGCCATACAAGTGGTAGAGTAGGCCCAGAGCAGCTGGAGAGAACAAGCTGCTCTGTTCTTCTGTACTCTCACCTTTTTTGAAATGTGTTTCTACTCAGTCATGTTAGAAAACAAAATTCAAGACGAGTTTTCAAAGAGTCAGGTGTAAAGCACTGATCTGCAGGGTGGGAGACCTGAGTTTAATGGATCATGTGTTCATGGCTATGAAGAATGTATTTTTTAGTCAAGAAATGTTTAATTTATACAAAATGTAACAGCTGCAGCAGAAGAGAGTGCAAGAAAGTGTGAGAGAAGCCATATTTAACAGCTAGTAGTTAGGAATCTTGCAAGGAGATCTGATTGCCTGAGCAAGCATCTAGCCCAGGGCTATTTAATAGTCTGACAAGGTTGCTGTGCTTTTTATGCAAAACCCAAGGTTGGTTCTGTTTTAGTGCAGACTGTAAACAAATGTAGCAATCTTTCCAACTTCCATGAAATGGAGTGCTTGTTTTGTGTCCAGGACTAATCCCTATGCTGCTCACATATTCTGAAGGGAAGTATCCAGCGGGATCCCATCCCACCGATGCAGCTAAGGGAAAAGGTCAATACAGAAAGGGGCTCTAAACTGGAGACAAGGGAGAGTGTAAAGAGCAAAATTATCCCTAAAAGAACTAGAGGTGGTAATTTAACCACTTGGAAGCCATCCATGCGGAGTTTCAGCAGTTAGGTTTAGCTGGAAAACTATTTGTTGAAAAACAAGATAAAGATGAGGTTGAACGATAAAGTTCTGTCCGACACCTATGTAAAATGCACTTTTGTGTGTATGCATTTAAATATTTGTCCAGGATTTGATGCTGTGACTTCCTAGTTTGCTGAATAATTACTCTTTCTGTTCTTATCTTCCTTGTTTGCATGATAAGTGCCATACGCTTTGCTTGTCATCGCTCTTCCTTCTTTTATACTATCCCAGCAGCTATTTGTTTATTTACCTTTATGCTACCGGGCAGTGGTGAGAGGGGAAGTTTGAAGTTAAAGCCCTGTGTATTCACCCTGCTTTCAGGAAATAGCAACTCAGAATTTACTGGCATCTTTCATGGAAACAGAGGGAAAAGTAAGAACAACGGACATTATACCTAGACTGTCCCTCCGGTTGGGATTTGGGATTGCATGGGTGAAAATTCCTAGTCTGTAGCATTCACCTAGTTCGGTGGCCTAGTCTGGCCAAGCTCTTGACCTGTTTCCTGAAGTACCTGATATTCCTAGTTTGGAATATCCTAGATATTCCTTGGATGAGTCCTCCTCATCCAAGCAGCAGTTGGTATTGGATAATATCAAGCGTAATCAGTAAGAGATGTACGGGCAAATGCAATTACTGGATAAACAATTACTGTTTCTCTGTTAATTACTGTAACACATACAGTGCAGCTCAAGTTAATGCAGACACTCACTTCTGGAGGACTCCTCTCTGCACTTGGGGAACTTAAATACTTACATAGCTTATGTAGTGCAGGGGTATGCCTAGTCCAGTGATCACAAAGGTCTAATTACTTAACTCTGTATTATTTGTATGGAATGTGTATTATTCAAAATAATTTTCTGCTTCATTTTCTTCCTGTAAAAGCCCTCTGCCTGCATCCGAGCAGCACTGCTGCAGTGGTACAAATGGGTCATCTGCCTGCAAAATTTGGCAGATTTTATTCTCTAGCTCTCAAATAAAAGGTCAAGTAAGTTGGCTCAGGCTGGACTGAGGCTGGAATTAGTAAAAACCTGAAAACCCCCGAAAGCACTTGTAAACTGCCTGAGCCTCCCTAGAATTTGCCTATAATAAGATAGTGTGACTCACCATAATGAGCTATTTTGAACTAAACTACTCTGCTTAAAGCACCCTTCTTCCAATTTACACTCTATTGTTGGGGTAGAATACATGAGAATTGTTTCCAGCAAATGCAGTTAAAAAGAAAACTACCAAAAGGGACAGTTTTGAGCAGTGAGTGCTGTGCAGCTCCTTGTGGTTTCAGTGGAAGTTTCATTCCATGGGAGATTGCTGACAGGACACAGTCATGTCAGCTGAGATCACACCAAGGCCAATAGGACAAAAATAAACACCAGCAGGATAATAAGGGCAGAGAGGTGAACAAGTTGTCCTTGCTTTATTCTCACAGATTCTCACTCCAGGGCAATCAAGAGCTTCCATTTAAAATAAACAGAGAGGGTGTGAGCACACGCTGAACGAAACGAATTACTCTGAATTGCTTGGAGTCATGTCGCAGAAAAAAGCAGGTTAGTAGATGGAGATATTATATTTATTTCTATGTAGGAATGAAAAACAGGATATAATTGAGTTATTAAGTGGTCCATGAGATGGGCAAAGGTGGGAAATATTAGCTCAGTAACAGCAGCTTCCAGAGGTCTGTCTGCATAAATGGAAAGCACTAGTAAAGTCTGTATACACGATGCTTTTATTCACAATAAGTAGTTGAGTATGAACAGATCTAATGTCTGGCACCAAGCTATATAGCTATATGCAAGGTGAAATTATACTCATAATGTTTTAATATTTGTCTTTTTTTTTGCCCCCTGGGATTCAGTTCTCAAGATAGCTGGTTTTGTGCTACAAGTCCAAGTATGAACAACAGGAAAATGTTGAATAAAACTTTGAACCTCTGTTGAATATTGCCAGGCTTGCATGAATTTACTGGCCAGGACAGATGTCTTTTATGCATTATGCTGTTCCAAATTTTGTCTAATCCGTCTGGTTAGACACAGCTGTTACATGAGACACTGCTAACAATTTACCAGGGTAAATATGAGTATACCTAGCTGATTCACACTGCATACCTGTATGTTTAAGCACTGCTATTCATACACTTTTTAGGTGAAAGAAGAAAGAAAGAGAGCAGAAATTCCCTTGTTCCCAACTGTTTACCTGCCTCTCCCTCCCGCGGGGAATAACAAATAACCTTGTTCACTCTGCCTCCCTCTGCTAACACATTTTTTTTTCTGCCCTTCTCCTTCATAGATGCCCATCACACTAACCTTTCTCACTGATGAAAACAATTACATTAAACTCAGAACTGGTCCATTCTTAGCTTGAAATGTGCTGCCTTTAAAATCCAAAGAGGAGACTAGGTATCTAAAACTTTGCCTGTTTTTTTTTTTTTTTCCCTAGCTATACTAGTTGGGTAGCTAAAAACAATTTCCCGTTTTCTACAGGTCTTCCCAAGCTTTTCCAGAAAGTTTGAAACTTTCCTCAAAGGATACTGGAAAACAGCAACAAAAACTCTATTGTCTTTGCCACTTTGCTGAAGGAAGGAAGGCAGGAAAGGCAAGAATATTAAAAAGTAAAAACTGCAAGAGTTTTCTGAGTAAGTTGAGTGGAATATGAGTTTGGACAGTAAATATCCTCAATTATTTGAACTGCCCTCCTTTTATAGGTATGTAACAGGGTTTTCAAACCAGAATTAATTATCACTTCTTATAGTTTGTTCGGTGTCATGCGTAACTGCCAGTCCTGACTGCCCTGCTGAAGGGGACGGTACTTGGAGGATGAAAAGCTCCTGCACGCTGGAAGGGCCTGGCCAGCCAGGATGCTTGGCTCAGGGGTGGATGTTGCCTAAGAGACATTCACCTTCCTAATGGGATTTAGCTCTTCTGAGAAGCCCCTGCACACCCCCATGCACAGGTCAGTGTGCAGAACAGCACCAGTCTGAAACATGACCTGGACACCTGTCTGTGAGTCTCCATAACCTGCGATGTCACATGTATCACGATGTGACTAGCAGTGGACAAAGAGATCAAAGTTGCTTGGTTCTGATCACTGGAAACGTGGCTGTGTTGCAGTTACCTCTCCTCTTATTCTGGCAGGTGCTGTTAAGGACAGAGGTGAGCAATAAAAAGGAGGATGCTGCTGAAGGGCTCCTCAAGCACTAACGTTACCAAATGGGTAAGGGACAGTTCTGATGCATACTACAGACCAGGTTTTCAAAGGTGTTTGACTTCTGATATCAGCACTTTTGCAGCCCTCTGAGATGTATAGAATGGAAAATCCTTTGAACTCATGCCCCAATCCAACTGCAACACAGGCAAACACAAGTAGGTACATATTTAAAGAGGTTTATATTGGAACTGATTTAAAGATTTTTATAGGAAAGGATACACAGAAAAATAAACATCAGTAACTTTTATCTGATATTCATTCTTTCAAGCATGCAACATGATAGAGTTTTACCAGAGACGGAAAGAATATACATCTACTATGAGGTCTTAAACCAAAAGCAGAGATAAACAGGAATATCCTACAGCAGTTTCCTGACAATCGGATAATACAAAAATAAATACTATAGAAGCTAACTTGAATTTCCTATCAAAATGTTAAAGGTATCTAGATGACACAGATAACTGCCAGCAGGAGCTCAAAGAGACCTTTAAGGTGGTAGTTGCTCTCTTCTGAATACATTCTGAAATATGTCATAGGAGTTATATGAAAGCAGACAGCTGGCTGACTTGGCAGGTTCTTGCTGGAATTGGATATGCCACAAAGCTACTCATCTCGTCATAGTAGAAAAACTGAGGAACTTCCAAGACCTGGTGCCCAGGAAAGAGACAGTTGAGGAATAGCTGTGTGAATGGCAGAGCAATCGGCTGTACATGGCAAAATGCTGTATGCAAGAAAGGATCTCAGTGTACTTGTAGTTCAGGTAAGTTTAGCTAAAAGACTGTATTAATTCTGAAAACAGTTTTGCTTGTTTGTTTGTTTGACACTGTTTCAGCTGCTGTATTGCTTTTTGTACCGAGCATCTAAGTTCTCGCTCGTCTGAATTCATATTCCTCTCTTTTTTCCCCTAAACACTGGATAATCAGACACTTAGTTTTCCAGGCCAAAATGCTTGGGTTGTTAAGCACAAGGGATGTGTTTGGGAGATGTATGTAACATGGCTTTTCTTGATGCAACATATGAACACAGAGACTGTATTATGCTCAATGGAATTCTAGAGAACTCAGCATTAGAAAAATTCCAAAGGATCCCTTGTATTTAGGAAAATAGAAATGGAGAGTGAGGCTTTATAGAAGCAATAGAGTATTTCTTTAAACTCTTAATAGTTGATATATAGATAAAAATATGTAGATTTGCCATTCCAGAGCTAGTGTGAAACTGCTGTTATAAACTAATTTATACCCAGTTGAAGCAAATAGAACATTTGCATTCAGTTGATTAACTTAATACACTAGAGCAGATCTGGACAAAAAGCCTACAAAAGTAACAAAGATGAGCTTGTTCCAGCTGCCTTCTCTGTCTGAAGATATAGGTCCTCTTTGTGCTGCTGGTGCAGATCTAAAGAAAAGAAAACAAACAGGATGTTCACAGCACAGAGCTGAGTTGAGATTCTTTTAAATATCAGACGTTTGTAGCCAAGGCTGAATTTTGCAGTTCAAGTGCTAAGTTAGGTGTTTCTTAACAAAACTTCAGTTGATTCCCAATTGTGCCATGATTTTATAAACAGGATAGCTGTGTGCAAAACTGTGGGTACAACCCTTGCTATCCGCCGAGCAAGACTCCCCTGGCCTGTCCATACTACCCACGACTCCTCGTCTTTCCATGTCCATGTGGCACCTCCTGCCTTGCAATAAGGAGGCTGTATAGAGCTTTTTCGGTATAGGGCATTAGCGGCCCTAAAGGTCTGTATTTTTACAGTGCTTGACACCGTAGGATCCAGATGCACTGCTAGGTGTCCCTGACATTGCAGTCATTTCCGTGAAAAATACCACTAAGAGGTTGCACCTCTGTTCCTCTTGGCTTATGTTTGCATGCCATCTAGTGGGCGTATTTCTACTTGCAGGCTTTCTTTAAATGTCAGGTGTCAAGTCTAAATTTTGACTCAGAAGAAACATGTCTGGGGAAGAGTAAAGGGACACTATATCCACCCCTAAAGCCCAAAGAATATTACAGCACCCTCCAGGCCACCCCTCCTCATGCCCATCCTCTGGCAGGCCTATGTAACAGGCCTTGTAAGGACACAAGTGTCACCTGAACAGCTCCGTGGGCTGACAGGCCAGCCATGAGTCTCACAACAGTGAGCAGCCACTGTGACAGGCGATGCAATGAAGCCTGGATGCCAAGTCTCAGTATTTAATATGAAATTATGCAAAGTGTAGCTTATGGACACTAATGAATACACCTAAGGCATAAGGTGCCTTTTCTGAACTGATATATGTTGTTAACAGTGATATCGCGACTGACCAAATTGTCCCAGTGTCAGTTAATGGACCATCAGAGAGCTGGGATCCATCCACAGAGAAAACAGATCTAGAAAATAATCATCAAATAATTTATATACATCTGCTTAAGGCTCTTTTTTCTTTTTTCAAGGGAGGCTAAATTCAATGGAGATGCTATTCGTTGCAGAGGTGTAAGTGTGAAAAGTGTGTAAGTATTCATTTGAATTAAGTATTTTAGTGACTTACATTTCAAAGAAAAGCAATGATATTTAGCATGCAGATTGAGAAGCTCTCTGTCTCAATTGAGGACAGCACAGATAATGAAGAGTATTAAGCCAATTAGACTGCCATGCACACAAAAGGGAATAGGAAGTTCATGGAGGGAAGAAGCAATGAAAATTCTCCCGAGGAAGATGGTAACAGCAAGATTACTTAGAAATTACCCAATAATTACAGAATATGAGACTGGTCTGTGGAATACTTTACTGATTGTGACCATGTAAGTACTGGCGTGGTGGGAAGGGATGAAGTGGCGAGGACTGCAAGGACTGTGTGGTAGTACTGGAGAACAGCTACATTCATCCCTTAAGTGAAAGGCACAAGACACTGATGTTTTCCAAAAGGCTTCTCATGCAGATTTCCTCTGCTGGGAATGTACACATATCACAAGACTCTTAGGGAAATGGGTTAAAACTTGGAAGAGAAACCTTTCATTAACAATTCGCAATATTGTTGTTTTTCAAGTCTTGTAAAATATTCTTTCCTCTAGTTTCCTAATATTGTCATCATGGCCACAGCTGTGGCTTCACATGGCGCAACTGGGTTTTCCTTTGACGTATATGAACAGACACTTTACCACTCACTGGCAGGACAAGGAAACCCTATTTTAACCCACCATGTGAGTGGTAACGAGTAACAAACAAATGCCTTAATAGGCCTGCAGCAAGTTGAGTCTAGGGTCTATGACCTTAAAGGAACTATCAGTAATCTCTAAAACGCAAATATTTTCATCACATGATTATAAATTGGTGCTGGGATAAAAAAAAAAAAATGTTGTCACATGAAAAGATGAGAAAAAGATACCAGTGAGCAGAGGGAATAGAGCATGGACACTCTCTCTGTAATGGTGTCTTAAACGCTCTCTGCTATGGAGAAATTCACCTTCTTTTCTGTGCTCAGAGGAGCTCTACTGCTAGGAAACCTCTGCTTGGAGGCAGGCAGAAGGCACCCAAACCTGCAAGCAGCAGCAGCAGCACCGGGCAGCCCGAGGCAGGGCCAGCACATCAGGCTTTTGACAGCAGCAGATGCAGGCAGAATCATCACAGGGGGCTCGAGGCACTTGGATGAGGGCAGAAAGGACACGCAGAAATAGGATGTGGCCGAGTGCATGGATTACAAATAAAAACTCATCTCGGGAACAACTTCTATATATTCAGGTATGCTTCGTCTTTCCAAACTGTGAGGAAGTTTTCATATTTAGATATTCAAAGATCTTATGTGAAGCCATATAACATATAGAATAGGAAACAAGTGCAAGTGAACACAGTCAACTTTTCTCTAAGTTCACTGAAATATGTCACAAAAAAAATTAGCCTTTCTATGTAATAAAGAAAAACAGTCATAGGAAGGGAGAATGTTAAAATCTAGTTCTGGAGTGATGATTTCTAATTAAGAAAAGTTAATTAATCTTGGATATGAGATCTACATTCCCTGCATATGTCCTACTGGCAAATATATTAAATATACGTAAATAAATTACATATTAAATACATTAAAATATCGAAATTGAGTTTGCAAACAAAATTGAGAATAAGAAAAAACTTCCTCAGTGTTTGGAACAGGAAATTGCAGTATCTAGAGACATGTTCTATAGATCTATTGTCATTTGACCTATCATTTCATTATTCACAGAAGAGTATTAATGAAAACATTTTTGAATTTGTGATAGATTTTTAGATTTTGCAGCAGCTTGTAGTGATAGCCACAAACTTCATTTATATCATCACTAATATACTGTGCGATCGTGTGATCAATGAGGACTGCTCAGCATCTCATTTTGAACAGCAGGTACTCACGGGCAATTGTGCACAACTTGTAAAGAGAAATTATTTACACAACACAGTAAAAAATAAACTCAGAAATACTGTATATTGCTTGTGGATGCCATACAATGGATGACACAGGTGGAACCTGTTGAATTGTTAACTTATCTGTTGTTTACTTGGTTCTAATGACACTGAGAGTGGTTTGAACTTTTTTTTACTTACGATGAAAAAGCACAATTAGAATGATCGGGATGATCCAAGCAGAGTAAGAACATTACAGGCCTGTGAAGAGATTATTTTATTTAACATCTTTCATTTAGAAAACTGAGGAAAACAAACAAAAAGAAATGAAACAGACTCAACTATTATCAAAAGTCTAAAGACTTCTTTTAATGTTATCTTAGAATCTACTGTGAATAATTGCAGCAATTTTAAATAATTGTGCAGACATTCAACATTTTCAACTGTTGTTTAGATTTGTGATCCAAATAAGAATTTTACAGTGAAGAGGAATGAAGGATGCCATCTCATGTGTCTGATATTGGGTAAGTAGCACTTAATTATACAATGAGCATTTCACTCAACTCATAGCTGATGTGTAAGCCTGAAAAACGTGATACCACTCCTCCACGATATCAATATAATGTGTCCTGAAGGCACAACATTAACAGCACTCAAATATTGAAAGGTAAGAAATAATTTAAAACAGCTGAGTTACTCCTGCAAAAACACCGTATTTATGAAGGTTTTTGACTTACTTGTAATTGTCAGTGCACGTGACTTCATATCCAAGTGTTTTCAGTCTGTTCTCTAATATCTTTACAGTATGAGTTCCACAGGAATCTCTACAAGAAATGGTTTTAGTGTTACTGTAAGCCTTCTGTTATCTGTTTCCTTTCCATGAACTTAAAGGGAGTAATAAATTAGACTGCCATTATTTTGCCACTTGCATATTCATTAACACACACAAAAAATGCATGTTGCCTTTTATAATACTTCATTTGCTTATGGTTGTGTAAGATTTTATATTCAGCTTGCAGAGATTAGAATATTGGCTCCTGCCTATACAGCAATAGCAGATTCTTCTAACCAAGATTTCCATTTTTAAGATTTCCTGGCAGAAATGAAACGAACTAAACAATTTAGTAGCATAATACATAAAACTTTTATTTTTAACATTCTTGGGCAGCTATTTAGATAGTGCTAAGGTTGATGTTCACTGTCTTTATGGAGTAAGTTGATTATAATTAATTGGAATTATTTTTCTTGTGGGAGCTTTTTCTGCTTTCTCTTCTCTTCTCTTTGGATTAATCTTTTTATTCTTTTATTTTTTTCTCCCTTTGCTGTATGTAAATATTATGGCTTTTCAGCCTATTTTTAACAACTAAATTAACAGCATGATTAGACCTGTTAAAACCTACTCTTTGTTGTTAGATTAATTTTAAGTATGGAGAGAAGAGCCCTCTTGTGGCACTTCATGCCCAAAATTTCCAGAACTATTAAGACAGGCAAAAAATGAAAAGAATGTAGTGGGCAAGGCAAAACAAATATGTGTCGTGTCAGGATTTATTCCAAAATTCACATTGTCCCTTGGTGGCTTCGTAGTGAAATTGTACATGCTCCATCCTCATTTAAGGTCTGAATTCCACACACATATATCTCAAAGCGTATTCCCAGCCTAATACAGAATGTATTTTTATTTTTATGGCAATTTTTATTTTGTCTAGTTCTGGTATTTATATATTCTTTGGGAATGGTAAAATTGTGCTGTGTTATGAAATAATGTAAATATTTTCATATTTATTACTATGTAATAATGATCAAAAAAGACAAGTTTGAAAATTACCTTTTTTTTTTTAAGATGAAACTTACCTATCAGGTCCATCAATATCATCTACAACCCAGATGACAATTTTTGAGATTTTGTCTTTCTGGAGATTGGGTATTTCATAATCTGCAAAGAAACTGATTAAAAAAAAAAAGTTTTAACAAAATCTTTTCAGTAATGAGAGCTTTGATCCTGCTGTAAGATAAGGGCTTGTTTATTTTTACTATATATCTTCTGATCACAATCACATTTAACAGAGTAGAAAAAAACCTTTTGATTCACAGACGTAACCTGTACCTGTGTACAGACACAGACCCTTCAGGGAAAGGAGGTAAGTGGGTGGTAGCATCTGTTTTGGAAAAGAGGAAGCTCTTAAGAACTTTTCTTTTGCCTCCCATCTGGTGATAAAATGACCTCTTCAGTGATTATTTTCAGTCATTGGTGAGCAAACTGGAGCAGGATCTATTTATTTATTTTTTGTTTTTTTTTTTGTTGTTGTTATTTTTTATTTGCTTGGATAAGACAATGGCTGAAGAAAGGAAAGATGGGAATATTCTCATCGAAGGTGGGTGTTCATAATGGCCAGATATTTTGTAGTAACTCTTAAGGACAAGGAATAACTTTGAAATAAATATTTAATACAAATTTAGATGAACAGATACATAGCAATACACTTGTAAATCAGACAAAATACATTAGTTCTTAATTTAAGGAGAGAATACGGAAAAAAGGGAGCTAATCCTTGCTCTTATCTTTCTTAATGAGTTTTTTTTTTTCTCTCTCAAACCAGAACAGACCTTTATGGAAATGGCACTTTTACTTACACAAAAGATTTTTTTTTTTTTTTTTTTTTTTTCCTCCAGGCATCAGACTTTGAACACATTAGTTGGTTAGTTTTCTTACCCTTTGACTGGATAAGCTCCTCCTTCTGCAGAACCATTCAATAGGACATGTATCACTCCGGAACTGTGCTGTGCATACTGTAAAACATAACAATAAGGGGCAGGGGGTGTAAGTTGAGACGCCGGCAGTTCCATCTCCATGTGAGGAAGAACTTATTCACTGTGAGGGTGACAGAGCCCTGGCACAGGCTGCCCAGGAGGCTTGTGGAGTCTCCTTCTCTGGAGATCTTCCAAACCCACCTGGATGTCACCCTGTGCCCCATGCTCTGGGTGTCCCTGCTGGAGCAGGGTGGGGTTGGACTGGATGATCTCTAGAGGTCCCTTCCACACTCAACCATTCTGCAATTCTTACAGATTGTTTACAGGTTTAGTATTGCACTGCATGCAACAATGGTCAGAGAGAGAATTTTAGCATAATTGTTAAACTAGTAACAAATTCACACTCTAGATGGTTATTGCAGCAGACAGGACAAAAAATAAATGGTCAAATGGCCTTTTTTAAAAAAAAAAAAATTCAATGTATCATCTTGGACTTGCTCTGTGAATAGAGGGTTTTTACCATGGCTATCAAATGTTTTAAGTACTCAGATCACTTCTTAGAATCTGTCTTCCTTAGAGAATTGTGGAGCTTAGTGTACTTAATGTACACATAATATATGTCATCAAACATAGAATTCAAATGTATTAACTAGATAAAGTGAAAGTTAGCTTTCCCTTGCAAAAGGGGAATTCTGTCTAGAAAAGCGGGTCTGTACCAGAGGATATAATTTAATGTACTTATAGCCTTAAATTTCTTTTGATACTTTTTTAAAGGAATTAATCCAACGAATTAAAGTATATTAATGTAGAAGATGTGCATTAATGCACTATTTACTGTGATTGAGGCCATCCGCCAGAAAGACTCCACTGCATTGTTTTCACATTCTTCTGTGGTAGGGCAGGAGTCATAGTCCAGTCCTGCAGGAAGACACGTGATAGGTACAATTAAAGATAATGATAAGAGCTGTAAAATGTGACCTTAGAAAGCAATTATTTATGTTCCAGCACTACTCATTGAACATGCATAATGGTCTGATATAACAGAAATGTGACAGTTTTATCTTTTCTATAATTTGCCAACCGTTGCAGTTTATATAGTGACATTATGTGGATTGAATAATTTGGCTGAAATGGAACTAACTATATCTGGGACAGAGGATAAAGAAGGAGGCTGATTTTCTGGGCAGCTCTGTTTAGGTTTTGCTCTGTGCCTCCTGACTGCAACATTAAATATTCACACAGAACAAAAACAAACTGGTCAGTGAAGCTACCTCTGATTTCTTCTGGGGTAAGAGCAGAATTAACTCCTTGATAACACAGCAGTCAGCATCAGTTATGTTTTCACAGACAGATATTTAATGTATCAGTCATTGTCTTACCAGGGCTGCCTGCCTGCCCACACCAGTTCAGTAAATCTGCAAAGAAGCCAATTAGAGTATCACCCAGGGCCGTGTAGCGACGAGTTCTACCAGAAAAGCTATTGACTAGCAGCTGATTATTCTCCCAGAAGAGAGACTAAATAAAGAAAAAAAAAAAAAAGAGACAATCACTTGGGTGTGAACACGGTGAGATTATGGGGTACTGAAAACACTTTAAAACATGCTTTGCTATTTCTCTAAAAATCAAATCATATAAATAGGCAGAAATGTTATGCATCTCTTCGTAAGAATAAAGTTTGTTCTTACAATGGGGTAAATTGCTGTCAATAGAGGTTGGAGGAGCATTCACACTATGATGGAAATGGATATAGACCTATATGAAATATAATTAGGCCTGACTTTACCTTGTTGAGCACTCAGATTTAGAAAAAGGGAGGAAAAAAAAGTAAAAAAAAGTAAAAAAAGACATATGCATATATATATAAGCCACATATATTTTGAAAAATTCTGTCACACTGCTATGGTGATTCATGGTACGCAAAAAAGAATCCTGTTATCTACCTTTTACCCCTATGTTCACAAAAGCCTTTCATGAATGAAACTGTTGACAGAAGTATTTGTCGGTTTAGCTTGTAGTGTTTAGATATAAGGAATAATTGCACATATTTTAAGAACAAACTTTCAGACAAGGCTAAAGCAGACACTGATGTGTGCTGCATACTGCGACAGGAAAAAAAAAAAAAAAAAAAAAGCATTTTTATTCATTGCTCTGCAAGTGCCAGAGACTGGTATCAAATACTCCTGTTTCCTAGCACAGAACAACAGCATACCCCATTTCTGCTTCTGCTTATAGTAGAGTGTAACATGTTGACTTGGCATGTGAGGAGTGGAAGGAAAAGAGGGAGGCAGTTTTTGCAGGCCGAGCACTTTGGGAAAAACGTCAGTGGAAGTTTAAGGAAGGAAAAAGTGTGGGCCTTCGTAATGTGGAAAGGGAGGCACAGAGATAAGGGAGGCACAGAGATAAGGGAGGCACACAAATCCCAGCACAGAACAAGCGTGTATCCACAGGGCTTTTCCTGAGGCTGCAGAGAGGAAGAAGGAAGGAACAAAGGACCCCCAGAGCCCCTGAGGACAGAGGAGCTACGGGCTGCAGGACTCCTGCTTGGAGGAAGGGAGTCCAAAGGTAGCACAGAGGGACACAGGAGTCTGGCCAGCTGCTGTGCTGCTGGAATGCGAGGTCTGCAAAGCAGGTGCCAGGAGCACTATGAAGCACTCACTCCTTCCCTTTGTAGTTTACTCTTTTCTCTGAAGGTAAAAAAAAACAGAAAAATGTCCTCAAGCTTAAGCTTACTTTGTAAACCAGAGATGGGGCAAAAATAATGAATCATCAGTGAGCCAAAGAATGACTTTTTGTCAATTTTGAACTACTATGTCTTAGGAAAGTTAGGGAATGTCACAAGACCATTAACATAACATGAATAATCAGTACCTTATTAGGTGGAATTGTGTGCAGTGACAAGTTAATAAATAATTCATAGTCTGTAGGTAGAATACTACAAGGATCCTTATTAATAAAAGCGTTTTTAAAAGCTTCCCATAACTCTGAACAATTCTTCTCCCTGTAATCATTGAAACAAACAAACATGTTTACAAAAGCAAAGCAACAAAGTGATTTGTTTCCAGTGCCCTCCAAGCCCCAAATTAAAATCTCCATAAGATTAAGGCAGGAAAATGAAGCCAGACTGGCAGAAACTTCACAATCCATGAAGAGCATATAGGACTTCACTTTTTCTTACTCCTTACAGCAGTTTTTATCTAAATACAGTAGCAGGAACTAAAAATAAAACTATTAGGATTTATACTGTGGAATTAGAAGTATATAGCAATCCATCAGAAATCTCAGAAGGTATGGTATTTGTAGCAAGATCGACTGCCCAGCATTTAGAAAATACTAAAAAATACTCAGCTTTCTTACAAATTTCTGGGATCTAAAAAGCCATTCCAACTAAAATGTGACTAAACACTCAAGGGTATTGGAAAGCAAAATAATAATTTTATAATTGAAATGTCAGATTCAAGAGCAAGAGGAGTTATTAAAAAAGTTCTAGTAGAATAATGGTCCTGAAAGGAGTATCTCCAGTATAAGCAAGCTCTAGCACTTGAAGGGCCCTAGAATAAGTACCATAACAGTGTGGGATGTGGGCTCTTGCAATGCAGTAGTTATTAGGTCTCAACATTTAAGCTTAAACTGCTCATGAAGGGAGGGCATGAAACAAGAAGGAAGGCTGTGCGCTAGGGAGGATCAAATAGCTCCCTTCTTCTGGCTCTGTCTCGGGGAAAATAATGGCCTGTAGAAAGACAGACCAGACCGTTTAGGGTCGGAAGGATCTTAAACCTCTGGATCTGCAGGAGCTCATCTGTCAAAGCTCTGAGCCTGCCTGGAGTAATTAAGAAATTAATTGCTACTTTCATCAATTTGCCACTGTACCTTCCCCACAATGCTGTGACAATGTCTCTGCTGGGAACACTGCAGAACAGAATAAGGTATTTTATGTGTATAAAGCATTGCTCATGTGAACAGCTGAAGCTGCAGACCTGCAGCTTGAGCAGTAGTAGTTCCTGTAAGTAAAGCAATTTTGCTGTTTGAGTGCTCCGCTCCTATAATGTCATTCATATGCAGCAGGTTTTCTGTGGGTGCTTCTCCTCATGACACTTTAAAGAGCTCCTTTGAGGTGCTGAGTGACAGAGATTCTGTAAAGGACCCTTGGGATGAGTTAAGCCACACTCATGCATGAAAGAGACCACAGAGTTTCTCACAGTAATCTCTGATCTGGTTTCTAATAGGTACTTAACAACTTCAAATAAAAAAAAAAAAAAAAAGAAAAAAAAGAAAAGAAAAAACCCACAAACCNAAATAAAAAAAAAAAAAAAAAGAAAAAAAAGAAAAGAAAAAACCCACAAACCTTGATCTCGATCAGTGATTCAATATGACCCTTGATCAGTGGTTCCAATGTTCAAATATCCTGACTCGGTAAGAGGATTTGCACCCAATTTCTAATTTTGACCATAAAACTACAGCTTTTGACCATGGATATATTTATGTCTCTTTCTGCTAATGGAATGTGTATTGCGAGCACTGACTTTTCATGTTGATACTTGTAAGTTATGATCAAGTGAACTCTTAATATCCTCCTTGACAGCTGAATCCAGCGGTAATTGTCTGGTTAATTCACTGAGGTTTTTTTTTTCATTCATGTCTTTTCATCTCATGTTTGAACAGCTTGCAAACCAAAAGGATTATTCTGCTCTGTAACTCAAAATATCTTAGCTGGCAAAAATACTTTTTAAACTACAGGGTGGGGAAGGACTGCAGTTTAGGACACTTTCTTCTCATCCTAATAGGTATCAGTAAGTCACGTCAGATTTATTTCACACTACTCCGTTAAAAAAAAATACCTTTTGAAAACTTATATTATATCCCACTAACAAAGAAATAAGGGGAAAAAGGCATTATAGGAATTTTTATGTTTGTGTAATATAGCATACTTTTATTATGCAATTATAGAAAAAAATTTCATTCAAATCTCTCACTTTTATATGACCATAGTTTTCTATAAAATATTTTACTTCAATTTCTGATGTTTGGTCTTAATGAAAGGGGTGTTTCTAATGTTCTAGATGTTCTAATGTTTCTATGGCTATTTTTATATTTTTTTATATATATATATATATATGTATGTATGTATAAGTATTTATTTAACTATGCCAAAAGGTGAGGATGTGCTATGCTACCTTCTTTTCTGTTAAAAAATATAGTATTTTTGCACATAAATTCACAAGCAAAACCTATCCAGGTGGCTGTGTCTCTAATGTTCACCGTGGGGGCAATTAAGAAATAGACAATGAACAGAAAGGTTTACACAAAATTAGAGTATCTGTTTAGCACCTGTCAATATAAAATGTCATTTTGTTTAGATTACAGTTTTTGCTTATAGACATAAGGGAAAGAAAAAAAACGAGCACATAACATGCAATGATTTCTGCAGCTATTCTTTTATAATGCCATTTTGGCCCTTGATTCAGGAATGGAGTGCTAATGTCCATCCCTGCTTCACACTATTCTGAGGTTTTGATGAATGTTTTCAGACTTTTCAATTTTAAAATTACGCTATGAAGTTGCAGAAATTAGATGACAGGGCTTTTGTAAACATGACCTATTAAAGCACTTTCAATAATATTATGTGTATATTTTAAGAAGTCCAAATCAGTAAATGATAAAGTTAACATTTCTGTAATACCCATCCTTTATGTTGTTTATTTTAGAGTATTTTGAATTAGTTATGTTCTGCTTCAAATATGAATAAAATTACATCCATTCACTGTAATGATAATTCTAACGATCTGTGTTACACTGCAAGATCAGACAAACTGAAATTACCTAAGTTTTCATAGTTTATACTCTAGGTCTGTGGCAACCTATAGCTGAAGTTTTCTGATGAAACTGTGAAGTGTTTAAAATTCCCAAGTTTGAACTGTTCAGCTAAAATTTCAATAATTCCCTGAGGATGATTTTTTCATAGGCCGACTTCAAGCGAAATGGTTCACCTGTGTTAAAAAAGTTACTAGGAAAAAATGTTCCTTTTTTTTTTTTTTTTTTTTTTTTTTGATTTTGTATCCTTCCTGCTTTGTAGCAGGAACTGAAACGGGGAGGTTGGGGCAAGGTGGGGGCACTTGCTGTTATTATGTAAAAGGCTCTGACATTGTTTAAGGCTGCCGTCCTGTGTTACAGAAACCAGGCTAGGTTCCCTCTGTAAATACTACTTAAAGCTATCGTGAAAAAATTTGGTGTCAGGATGAGGGGCTGAAATTCAAGAATTTCTTCTTGCTGCTCCCCCCCCCCCCTTTTTTTTTTTACAAACACTGCAAGAAAGGTGGAAAACAAGGTAATCTTACCAAAATGCAGGACTTGCTGCCCAGTACTAATCAACACAGACAGTGTAAACCTGCAGCCAGCACTTCAGCAATGCCTGCTTTGTGAAGGGGACGAGCTAAACAGGTTCTTTTAGGAGCACAGGACAGCTAGCAAACGTGGCCCTCTTAAGAGGCTTGACAAAGTAAAATTGGTCTTCCCAGGAGCACTGAACTTAGTATATGTGTATAGTAATTTGGTACATTAAAAATACCATCCCCACAATTTTTGAGCACTGCTTTCCTTGTAGAACCCTGTAATAGTAGTGCAAAAATACGACATATAAAAGTCAAAGCATTAGAAGTTTTGCCTTATTTATGCTACTGATATTATTATTACATTTATCTTTTATTGTTGTTGCTGTTGTTGTTCCTAGACAAGCATGTTGGTTTCAGCAGGACACCTCTTATGGCCAGCAGTGAAATATCCTAAAATTGACCTAATTTAGAATTAGGCTTCTAAGTAACATAAAAACTAATTCAGAAACAAGCAAAAAACTTACCCAACAGAAGGATTCACAATTCGAGTGTACTCATAACACCTTCCAATGACAATGTTTTCCAGGTTTGGTGTTGTACCTTCACCTTTCCATTTCTTTTCTTGTCCTTCAGAAAGGCTTGTCATAAACAGAAGAGAGACAAATGAGAGAGACAAAAAAAAGATGTTCATTATGAATTACTGACAAACCAAAATCCAAAAAGAAGAAAAAAAAACAGTTAAATTGTAAGATTTAAAACCAGAAGGCTTAACATATAATATTTCCAATACAGGCAGCAACCCTCTACACAAGTGACAAAGTTACACGGAAATCTAAACTTTGTAGGAGAATGTAATCTAACTGTTTCCTGCAATGATTGCAGCACAAGGATACATCACTTCCTTAAATATGTTTGCAGCTTCAGAAAAACAAAGTTTAAAGATCAGGACGTTGCCCTCTGGTGGTAACCAGACAAAATTACAACATAATTCTGTACAACAACAAGAACAAAGCTTACCATGTTAGTTTACAATGCCTTAGCTTCCCAGAAAACTCATTGCAAGTTATAGCCTAAAACATTGCAAGTAATTGCAAGCAACATACTTGAAAGCATTTTTTTTAAAGGCTACACTTTTTTTGCAGGTGTTTCTCTAATGGCTGAAAAATTGCTGAAATACGTACCAAGATGAAAATGACAGACAGAAGTGCTTATTCATAAAAAGCCAGATTTTCAAGGTATCTTGTATCACAGACATGGGTAACATACACTTCTAATTTCCCCTGGATAATGACAGCAGTATTTTGGTGTGATGATATGTGTTTTAAACTATTCTTAGTGAATAAAACCGTCTTGTGTACAGAAATAAATTACAAGAACCAAAGGGATTAAGATACGATTCCTGTGAATTGAAGAAATCTCTTCAACTTCTGCTTATGTTTATTCTCTCTTCAACTTCTTTTTGCTAAGTACCTTTATAGATCCTCAAATGGGATAGATTAATCCAGCCTTCATTGTGTATTTTCTGGTGTCTACACTGCTGGAAATACACCTAAACTCACTTTCCCTTCCTTTTTTAAAACTTCTCTTTTCAACCTCAGCATAACTTATCTATGGTTTCACATTCCTCAGAAACACTGGGTTTTTTTTTTTTTTTTTTTTTTTTTTTATTTTTTTTTTTTTTTTTTTTTTTTTTTTTTTTTTTTTTTTTTTTTTTTATTTTTTTTTTATTTTTTTTATTAAATAGCCCCCATGCTTTAGTAGAATACATATATCTTTATTAATTATGTCTTTATTTATATAGTGTTTTTGCTGTGTGCATAATCTTGCTAATCGCCAAGTATATCACTGATGATGGATTTCTTCTAGAAATGTCATAATAGGGCCAACGAATTGATTTATTGTCTGAAATATGCTTTTAAGAGAACCATGTCAGCATGGATTCACCAAGGGGAAGTCAAGTTTGATGAAGCTGATAGCCTTCTATGATGGGATCACAGGCTGGATGGAAGATGGGAAAGCTATGGAGGTTGTCTACCTTGACTTCAGCAAGGCTTTTGATGGAGTCTCTAATAACATCCTCGTGGGGAAGCTCTGGAAGTGTGGGATAGATGAGTGGACAGTGAGGTGGTTTGAGAACTGGTTGGATGGCAAGAGCTCAGAGGGTGGTGACAAATGGGGTTGAGTCTAATTGGAGGCCAGTGGTGTCCCTCAGGGATCAGTACTGAGCCAGGTGCTGTTCAACTTGTTCCTCAATGACTTGGATGAGGGCACAGGGTGCACCCGGAGCAAATTTGTAGATGATACCAAGCTGGGTGGAGTGGCTGACACTCTGGAGGGCTGGGCTGTCATTTAGAGGGACCTAGACAGGCTGGTGAGTTGGGCAGAGAGGAACCTCATGAGGTTCAATAAGGACAAGTGCAGGGTCCTGCACCTGGGAGGAATAACGCCAGGCATCAGTACAGATTAGGGGTCGACCTGCTGGAGAGCAGCTCCATGGAGAGGGACCTGGGAGTCCTGGTTGACAAGAAGTTAGCCGCGAATCAGCAGTGTGCCCTTGTGGCCAAGAAGGCCAATGGGCTCCTGGCTGCACCAGGAGGAGTGTTGCCAGCAGGTGGAGGGAGATGATTCTGCCCCCCTACTCAGCTCTGGTGAGGCCGCACCTGGAGTATGGGGTGCAGTTCTGGACTCCCCGGTATAAGAGGGACGTGGAGCTTCTCAAGAAGGTCCAGCATAGAGTGACAAAGATGAAAGCATAAAGTGAATGGAGCATCTATCTCACGAGGAAATGGCGTGAGCAGGGCATTAAGCCTGGAGAAGATGAGATCTGATCAACATGTCTAAGAACCTGAGGAGTAAATATAAGGAGGAGGGGGCCAAGCTCTTCTCATTGGTGGCCAGTGACAGGACAAGGGGTAATGGGTGTAAGTTGAAACACAGGAAGTTCCATCTGTGTGTGAGGAAGAACATTTTTACTGTGAGGGTGACAGAACCCTGGAACAGGCTGCCCAGGGAGGCTCTGGAGTCTCCTTCTCTGGAAGATCTCCTTCTCTGGAGATCTTCCTTACCCTCCTGGATGCCACCCTGTGCCACCTGCTCTAGGTGTCCCTGCTTGAGCAGGGGGGTTGGACTGGATGACCTCTGGAGGTGCCTTCCAACCTCAACCATTCTGTGATTCTGTGAACCAGAGTTACCCTGAAATAGATATGCAATGTTGTTTTTGATATACTTGACACACATCAGATGTGGTACTTCATTTTGTCTACTTTTGTGATGTTTTTTCTCCGCCTTTCTTTTGTGAGTTCTCTGAAACATGGCCATGCTGATAGGGAAGGAGCAAACTAGCCCAATGGTTTTAAGGTTGCTGCTTCACGTTTAGGCTTAGAGATTTATAATCATCCACAGAACTAAATGAATGTTTTTTTGTTATCAACTTCACTGCAGTCAAATTTTGCCCAGTAGTTTCAGGACTAAGAGAAACCATAGGCCTCACTGAGGTAGTATTTTAAATAGAACAGGGCTGAGCTTTTCACTGATTTTTTGCATCAAGACTGATATGCCTATCTAAAATAAACAGTTTATGTTAGGACAACATAAAAAAGGAATTGAGTTTTGGAATGGCTTTTCTACAAGGACACACTAGTTATGGATTTATCAGCTCGGGAAAGACATGGATGCTGCTCAGTGGTGTTCGGAAAGAAGACAAGACGTGTCATGCCACTTAGGAGGAAATGGAAATGCATCCAGCAGTCGCTGGGATGCCCATGTCAAGCTCTGTTGAGCTTCCTTTCCTCATTGGCCACTTTTAAAAATACAGCATTAGGCTATGTGGGTCTCAACTAACTCGGCACAGCCATTTTAATATATGTTCTTACTCAATTTTGATTTAAATATTTTGTGTGAGGGCTTATCTAACACACGCCAGGGAAAGTGTGCCAACAGTCGGGTAGCCATATGGTTGCAGTGTCTGGTCTGAACTTGTCTACCTTTAGCTTGCAGGCTATTAGATCTCATGATGCCTTTTCCTGTTATGTAAAGAACAATCGAGCCTCAGAAAGAGTCTCTCCATGTAAATTCTTGTAGAATGTGACCATAACTTGATGGTTATTAAACTTGCCTATGAAAAATTCAACTCCTTAATCTCATTATTTGGCACTTATTCATACAGTACCATGGTCATCTGTCTTGCCTCCCCAGCTTGGCAGTTCATGCTGGATGTAGATCATTGTCCTCTAAGGATGTTGCTGCCCATGGAGCAGTCAGCAAAGCCAGGAATGTATCTGCTCGGGAGATACTCCAGTTCACAGACTGCATATTAACTAGAACCACCACAAAATTCAGCATGTTTATATTCTGAAGCCCTGGTGGATGAGGAATGGACATGTTCCCTCTTGCTATTTCTACAAGATGGGAGTGGTAACTTCCAGCAGAAGGGTTAACACATGAGAGAATTAATCTCCTATATTACTCAGGCATGGACTGCTGGCAGAAGAACCCCAGCTCTGTATGATTTAATGCTTTATGCCTAGAAACTCAATCTTAAATTTGCCAGCACTAACAAACTCTTCTGCAAGCAAGAGACTTAACCAAATGTTGTTTCTTGGGGGGTTGTATTTCTGCTCCATAAATCCTACCTACAGCCAGTGATGAACTCGCTGTGCAAGAAACAGTGGCTCCTGGGGCTAGTTGGAGCCAGACTTGGCTGTGCAGGCCTAGACAGCTGTGTCCTACCTGTACCTCGCCTTCCTATCTCGCCCAGCTGCCAGTTTCCCCAAACATAATCATCTTTAAGATTTGTAAACCTGTCAAATATGATTAAATAGGCCAAGAGGTTCAAAAGACTCGGGGAAACACCCGGATGGCTCCAGCCTCATTTCCTTAGATAAAGAGATAAGGATTCCTGTGTGCCGTGTGATCCACCATGGGACATGAGCCTCTCAATTCATTATCTACTGGCAATACGAGGGATAATTACGTGTTTTATGTTAAAGCATTCCTGTGTTAAGGAATGTTGTGCTAAAAATAAGTCCTAGGGCCCTTTGCTTGAAGTATTTCAATGTGTTTATTTCTCTTTTTCACATCCACAAGCTCACCAGATTTTAACCTCCTTACTACTGGCAGCTCAGATTTTACAGGGCGGTAATTTTCAGTGGGAAACTCCTGCCGTTTATTTCGTCCCCGACCCCCCAGGGTGGGGGGAAGGGGCAGCCGGGCCCGCTGCCCGCCGCCATGTCGGCTGGCAGAGCCTCCGCTCCATTTTGTTGTGCCACGGTGCCACCTCAAGGCAGCTCAGGCTTCCCTGCCCACACGTTTTGGCGGCCAAGGGCAGCGCGCCGGTGCCCTCTGGGCGCCGAACACGGCAGCTCGGAGCACCGCTCGCCACGGACCGCTTCTCGCCGGGGGCCGCCCCCACACGGCGGCCCGGGCCGGG